TGTGATTCCACAGCGCTCTACTGAGGGTGACATAGTAAAACTCTGTCTCAAAAAAAAAAAAGAAGAAGAAGAAGGTAAGAAGTGGGCAGGCTGGTATGGGACCTCGGTGTTTGTCATAGTAAGAAGGCAAGAAGAAATCAGGACTGAAAACTCTTGGCCTTTTATTCATGCCTGCAAGATGGCTTTTACAGCTCTAGACATCAAATAAGTATTTAAGGCAAGAAGGGGCAAAGACAAAGCAAAAACTTTTCCAGAGACTCCCAGCAAATTTCTGCATTTTTCTCATTGTTCATAATTGTGTTAAATAGCATAACTACAAAAAAAATTACTTCTATGGGGGCGGCACTTGTAGCTCAAAGGAGTGGGGCACTGGCCCCATATACCGGAGAGGGTGGTTCAAACCCAGCCCTGGCCAAAAAGTGCAAAAAAAAAAAATTACTTCTAGTGGTGGGGTATGATGGCTCATGCCTGTAATACTAGCACTCGGGGAGGCCAAGATAGGAAGATCGCTTGAGCTCAGGAATTTGAGACCAGCCTGAGCAAGAATGAGACTCCATCTCCCCTTTTTCTCTTCTAAAAGTAGAAAAACTAGCGGGGCACTGTGGCCCATGCCTGTAGTTCCAGCTACTGGAGAGCCTGAAGCAAGAGGATCACTTAAACCCAAAAGTTTGAGGTTGCTATGAGCTATGATGATGCCACAGCACTCTACCCAAGAGAACAGAGTAATACTCTGTCTCAAAAAAAGAAATTACTTCTGGCCTGACTGATAGCTCACACTTGTCATCCTAGCCCTCTAGAAGGTTGAAGCAGGAGGGTCACTTAAGCTCAAGAGTTGGACATCAGCCTAAGCAAGAGCCAGACACCTGTGTCTAGAAAAATTAACAAGGCCTGATGGCACGTGCCTGTACTCCTTGAACCCAGGAGTCTGATGTTGCTGATTGGTAGACTGACTGGAGCAACAGAGTTCTGTATCAGTAAAAAAATTACTTCTTGGTCGCACCCGTAACTCTGTCAGCAGAGCCCTGCAACATACACCAAGGGTGGTGGGTTCAAACCTGGCCTGGCCTGCTAAACAACAATGACAACTACAATCAAAAAATAGCCAGGCATTGTAGTGGGCACCTGTAGTCCCTGCTGCTTGGGAGGCTGAGTCAAGAGAATCACTTAAGCCTAAGAGTTGGAGGTTGCTATGAGCTGTGACGCCACAGCACTCTACCAAGGGCGACATAATGAGTCTCTGTCTCAAAAAAATAAAAAAAAAAGGTACTTCTTGGCCAGGCTCAGTGTCTCATGCCTGTAATCCCAGCACTTGGGAAGCCGAGGTGGGTGGATTGCCTGAGCTCACAGGTTCGACACCAGCCTAAGCAAGAATGAGACCCCCGTCTCTAAAAAATAGCCGGGCATTGTGACGGGCACCTGTAGTCCCAACTATTTGGGAGGCTGAGGCAAGAGAATCCCTTGAGCTCAAGTTTGAGGTTGCTGTGTGCTGGATGCCATGGCACTCTACCAAGGGCAACAAAGTAGGACTCTGTCTCAAAAAAATTTTTTTTCTTCTTATCCAAAAGTCCCTCACCTTCATAATGATGGGACCTGGGTATGTGTCCCAGATTAGATTGAGCAGAACAACTCCTACTTACGAAGCAGTTCAGGGATAAGTTGGTTAAATACAATATATTATCTATAAATTCTTTGACGTGTCCCATTTCAAAAAATAGTTCCTAATTTTTCTTCTCTTTTGAGTAGGCCATGTTTAAGGACTTCGTTTTAATGAAAAAAGAACATGGCAGAAATGTGAGACTTCCAGGATAAGGCCATAAAAGATAGGGCAGCTTCTACTTTGTTCCCTTTTGCATCCCTTGCTCTGGGGAAAATCAGCTGCCATGGTATGAGGACAATCACGCTGCTCTGTGGAGAGACCCACGTGGCAAAGAACTGAGGCCTTTTGCCAATAGCCTGCATTAACTTTCCAGCACCAGTCAAGCATTCAGATCACTGCAGACACAACTGACATCTTGAGTATAACACGATGACAAAGCTATAGCCAGAATCACCCTAAGCCACTCCAGAATTCCTGACTCACGGAAACTAAATGAAATAATAAATGTTTATGGCTATTTGAAGTCATTAAATTTTGGACTAATTTGCTATCTAAAAAATACATTCCCAGGGCAGTGCCTGTGGCTCAGCTGATAGGACACTGGCCCCATATACTAAGGGTGGTGGGTTCAAACCCAGCCCCAGTCAAACTGCAACAAAAAAATAACAGGACACTGTGGCGGGCACAGCTACTTGGGAGGCTGAGGCAAGAGAATTACCTAAACCCAGGAGTTAGAGGTTGGTGTGAGCTGTGTGACACCACGGCACTCTAGGGAGGGCAATAAAGTGAGACTCTGTCTCTAAAAAAAAATAAAATAAAATACATTCCCAACAACAAAAATAAATAAGACTTAAATAAATTAAAAAGATCCTACCCAGTCAAGGACACAACAATCAATGCAAATAGACAACCTTCAGAATGGAAAAAGCTATTTGCATATTATGAATCTGACATAGGTTAATAACTAGGATCTACAAAGAACCCAACTAATCAACAAAAATAGAGTTAACCCCATCTATCACTGGACAAGAGACATGAACAGAACCTTCTCTGAGGAAGACAGACAAATGGCTGACAAATATGATAAAATGCTCATCACCCCCAATAATCAGAGAAATGCAAATCGAAACCACCCTGAGATATCACCTAACCTCAATATATTTCATGCACATCCTAAAGTCCCAAAGCTGCAGACGCTGGCACAGATGTGGAAAGAGGGGAACACTTTTGCACTGTTGGTAGGACTGCAAACTAATACACCTTCTTTGGAAAGAAGTATGGAAAAACTCAAAGAACTCAGACCACATCTCCCATTTGACCCCACAATCCCACTACTACGCATCTGCCCAGAAGGAAAAAAATCATTTTATCATAAAGACATTTGCACTAGACTGTTGCAACTCAGTTTACAATTGCCAAAATGTGGAAACAACCTAAATGCCCACCTATCTAGGAATGGATTAACAAGCTATGGTATACATACACCATGGAATACTAGTCAGCCATAAAAAGATGGAGACTTTACATCTTTTGTATTAAGATGGATAGGGTTGGAACTCATTCTTCTTAGTAAAGTATCACAAGAATACAGACACAAGAATCCAAAGTATCCAATTTTAATATGAAGCCAGTAGACAGCCTATTACACCCCCATAAAAGGAAAACTCAAATCAATTTAAAGTAGGGAGTGGGGGAACAAGGGAGCAGGGAGGAGGGTAGGAGATGGATGTGCTCCAATCTAATAGGCACAATGTTAGGATATATGGCACACATCTTGGGGGGCGTGCCACAATTATAAGAGGCTTAATTGGGGCGGGCGAGCGTAGTCCCGGCTACTTGGGAGGCTGAGGCAAGAGACTTGCTTAAGCCCAAGAGTTTGAGGTTACCATGAGCTGTGATGCCATAGCACTCTACCGAGGAAGACCTAGTGAAACTCTGTCTCAAAAAAAAGGTCAAAGTGTTAGGCCAGGTGCGGCGGCTCATGCCTGTAATCCTACCATTCTGGGAGGCCAAGATAGGAGGATTGCTTGAGCTCAGGAGTTGAAGACCAGCCTGAGCAAGAGTAAGACTCATCTCTACCAAAAATAGAAAAACTAGCCTGGTGTTGTGGTGGGCGTCTACCAGTCCTGGCTACCTGGGAGGCTGAGGCAGGAAAATTGCCTATGCCCAGGAGTTGGAGGTTGCTGTGAGCTGTGTGATGTCATGGCACTCTACCAAGGGTGATTGAGTGAGACTGTGTCTCAAAAAAAAAAAGTCAAAGTGTAGGCAAGATCATGCCTTTCTCTCAGCTTCTGGCATCACTAGCAATATTTGGTATACCTTGGCTTGTAGCTACATATTAAAAATACCAATCTCGGCTTGGCGCCTGTGGCTCAAGTGGCCAAGGCACCAGCCACATACACCTAAGGTGGCGGGTTCGAATCCAGCCTGGGCCTGCCAAACAACGATGATGGCTGCAACCAAAAAATAGCCAGGCATTGTGGCAGGCATCTGTAATCCCAGCTACTTGGGAGGCAGAGGCAGGAGACTCGCTTGAGCCCAGGAGTTGGAGGTTGCTGTGAGCTGTGATGCCATAGTACTCTACCCAGGGGGACAGCTTGGAGGCTCTGTCTCAAAATAATAATAATAATAATTCCAATCTCTGCCTCTGTCCTCACATGGCATTCTCCTGTGCCTCTGTGTCTTCATATGCCCATCTTTCTTTGAGGACACCAATTATACTGGATTAAGGGCCCACCATACTATATTACTTCAACGAACTAATTAGATGTATCTGTAATCACCCTATTTCCAAATAAGATCATATTCTGAGGTGCTGGGAATAGGACTTCAACACATCTTTTTTGGAAGGTGGGACAAAACTGATCCTATAACAATGACCTTATACATCTGTGACCTAGGCAATTTAATTATGAATGCAAACTCTATAAGAGGTGCCTTTACCCTGTGTCTGTCTAGGGAATTTAATCATTCTGTAGGATTCTTTCATGCTTGATCTCATCACTTTCCACTGATATTTCTGAAATCAGCAGATTTCTGAGAGGTTGCCTTAGGTTTCTTTTCTTTCTTTCTTTTTTTTTGTAGAGACAGAGTCTCACTCTATCACCCTTGGTAGAATGCCATGACATCACACAGCTCACAGCAACCTCCAACTCCTGGGCGTAGGCAATTCTCCTGCCTCAGCCTCCCAAGTAGCCAGGACCACAGGCCCCTGCCACAATGCCCGTTCGGCCAAAGCCAGATTTGAACTCACAACCCTTGGAATATGGGGCTGGCGCGCTACACACTGAGCCACAGGTGCCGCCCCCCCCCCTTTTTTTTTTTGAGACAGTCTCACTTTGTTGCCCTCAGTAGACTGCTATGGCATCACAGCTCACAGCAACCTCCAACTCTTTTTTTATTAAAAATTCACTTTATTTTTCTGTTGAATCAAGCACTAGCTACAAGTTACAGTTAGATATTTTTGATGCCTTCCAAATGTCACCATAGTTAACATTGCCTTATCAATCATCAAACAATAAACTACGTCCCAGTGGTTATGTTCACATCTAGAATGTTCAGGTGATCAGGAATTCTTTTATTGGTTTGCTTTAGCTTTTAGTTCTTGGTTATATCTCCAAATTCGAAAAAGTTGAGAGGCACCTGCTGCCCCCACAAAGAAATTAACAGCAAACAGACTCCAGTTTTTTGGAATAATTACGAGTATCTTGACCAAATAAACCCTGTAGCCATCAAAACAGCAGACTGAGCTGTGCTGAGTTTTTCTGCAGGTCTGGCCATATCAGCCAATCCAGCACACACCAATCCCCATTTCATAATTGGAGCCCAGAAAAAAACTGTTTTGGGGCCTGCTGGGTGGCAACCTTCAACTCTTGGACTTAAGAAATTCTCTTGCCTCAGCCTCCCAAGTAGCTGGGACTACGGGTGCCTGCCACAACGCCTGGCTATTTTGTTGTTGTTGTTGCAGTTGTTTAGCTGGCCTGGGCCAGGTTCAAACCCACCACCACTCGGTGTATGTGGCTCGTGCCGTAACCACTGTGCTACAGGTGCTGAGCCTTGGTTGCCTTAGGTTTCTAACCAGGTCACAGCCCTTATCTCAGGATGACTTAGCTCTAATCCTAGGGTTTATCTACAGTCCTCATGAAGCTATGGGATCCCCCAGAATGCTAAGATATCTTAGATGAGCTCCACAAATAGGTGATACTAATGTGAGCCAGAGGGGGTAGAAAAATTTAGTTTTATTAAATTGTTATCGTCTGGGTGGCGCCTGTGGCTCAAGGAGTAGGGCGCTGGCCACATATACTGGAGGTGGTGGGTTCAAGCCCAGCCCTGGCCAAAAAACTGCAAAAAAAAAAAATTGTGAGCGGTGCCTGTGGCTCAAAAGGGCAGGGTGCCGGTCCCATATGCTGGAGATGGCAGGTTCAAACCCAAACCCAGCCCCAGTCAAAAAAAACTGCAAAAAAAAAAATTATTATTGTCATGTTTTATCTGAGTTATGCCTACATTCCAGGGGATCTTGCATTAGCATACATACACATCCCACCCCATGTGATCTTTGTCACCAACCCATTACCACTATCTTAGAAATATCTTCACTCTGTATCTGCTGCTTAGTCCTATGCAGGCATCGTGAGCTTCTCCCTTGTTCCCATCTGTAGGATTCCTTTGGTTTCAAAGGTCCTTTGGGATACCCGTCTGGGTCACCCTTGAGCATATAGGAAACACTGGGGCAAGGAAAGATCTAATATTGTCTAAGTCTCTGTTTCCATGTTGTTCTGAAACACGCATGAGCCTGGAGCATAGATCTCTTTCTCTAGGAACATACACAAATTTGAACTTGTAATGCTTCCCCTCCTTCTCCTCCTCTCCTCGCCCAGGAAAATTTTTTTCCCTTTGAGACAGAGTCTCACTTTGTCACCCTCTGGAGAGTGCTATAGCATCACAGCTCACAGCAACCTCTAACTCTTGGGCTTAAGAGAGTCTCTTGCCTCGGCCTCCCAAGTAACTAGGACTACAGGCGCCCACCACAACGCCTGGTTATTTTTTTGTTGCAGTTTGGCTGGAGCCAGGTTTGAACCTGCCACCCTTGGTACATGGGGCAGGCACCCTACCCACTGAGCCACAGGCGCCCCACTCCCAAGAAGATTCTTATAGATGTTCAAGAAGTTTTTCAAGTTTTGCTGCCTTCTTGTCTATATTTCTTGTAGGGAAGAACTGATGCAAACACGCTGCTGTTGCTTTTGTGTGTGTGTGCCATGAGGAATAAAGTCCTTTCTCTCCAACCCGGGAATGTTATGTTTTCTGCCAACATCCTTTAAATAGTAGTAGGCTAATTTATTAGCTTGTCAGAAGGGTAAAATGAAATCCCAGACCTGACATGTGGCACAGATTTGAAGCCAGGTGCTATGACAACCACAAGAAGCTGTTCAGAGCCCAGGCAGAGCTAGTTGCTGTATCAGTGGCTGGATGAGGCAGGTAAACCAGGAGACTATAGAGGTGTTCCCCACTATGTTTCTCTCTCCTCAGATCTTGTAAGCCACTCTCCCACCTACTCTCAACTAAAACTGGGAAGACTAGAACCATCAAGCAAGGAGTCCCTTGATTTGTAGCCGTTTATCCCACACATTTACACACAAAGGTACTCATCCAGCTCCCTTTGGTGATTAAAAAAAAAAAAAAAACAAACTTTCCTCCAATGCGAGACCTATTCCCTTCTTTTACCTGTGCATGTATATGAAAATGTTCCTTCTCAACTGGGCCCTCTCCATTGATATTTAGGTATGGCCAAGGGTTCTCCCCCCGACTCTAGCTATACCCTAACATCTCCTCACCACTGTCAAAGCCAACCTTCTCTATATTGTTGTCTATACAACCATCTCCATTTTCTTACCTCACACTCACTTCCAAACCTACTCCAATCTGATTTCTGCCAATAATGCACCAACCCATTTTACTGGGTTTATCTAAGACCTTAAAATTGTTAATTGTTATAGATGCTTATCAGGTTGTTTTTTTAATTTCTTTTCTTTTTTTTTTTTTTTTTTGCAGTTTTTGGCTGGGGCTGGGCTTGATCCTGCCACCTCTGGCATATGGGGCCAGTGCCTTACTCCTTTGAGCCACAGGTGCTGCCCTTTTATTTCTTTTTTTGCGACAGAGTCTCACTTTCTTGCCCCCAGTAGAGTGTCGTGGAATTATAGCTCACAGTGACCTTAAGCTCTTGGGCTCAAGTGATCCCCTTGCTTCAGCCTCCCAAGTAGCTGGGACTATAGGCGTCCACCACAACCTCCGGCTGGCTTTTTAGAGATGGAGGGGGGTCTCACTCTTGCTCAGGCTGGTCTCCAACTCATGAACTCAGGTGATCCATCCACTTTGGCTTCAAAGAGTGCTGAGATAACAGGCATAAGCCATGGTACCTGGCCGAGTTTCTTTTTGTTTTGTTTTGTTTTGAGACAGAGTCTCACTATGTCACCCTTGGTAGAGTGCTGTGGTGTCACAGCTCACAGCAACCTCAAATTCTTGGGCTTAAATGATTCTCTTGCCTCAGCCTCCCAAGTAGCTGGGACCACAGGCACCTGCCACAACGTCCGTTTTTTTTTGTTTTTTTTTTCTTTTTTGGTTGCAGTTATCATTGTTGTTTAGCAGACCCGGGCCAGGCTCAAACCTGCCAGCTTCAGTGTATGTGGCTGGCGTCCTACTCCCTGAGCTACGGGCGCTGAGCCTTGTTTTATATTTTTCAAGAGGTAGAGTCTTGCTCTGCCACCAGGCTGGAGTATTATTGACATGATCATAGAGTTAAGTGTTGAAGAACCAGATGTCAGGTCCCTGTGTTCCCAGAACTGAATAATTTCTGGTACTGAGTTGATGAAACGGATGAGCAGAACAAGCAGGTGCAAGCAGGCAAAGTGCCAAAGTTTTATTAAAGATTAAAGTATAGTACATCCCGAAGAAGGAAGGGGTTGGCTCCCAGGAGTGGAGGAGACACTGAGTTTAACAAGATTTCTCCTTTTATGCTGACTTTTATTTCTTTTCTTTTCTTTCCTTTCTTTGTTTCTTTTCTTTCTTTTTTTCTTAGAAACCAGGTCTTGCTCTGGCTCAGGGAAGTCTCGGAACTTGTGAGCTCAGGCAATCCACCCAGTGACTTCCTAATTTTATGTTAAGTGGAGGGTGGGGTATTCATGCTTTATCTTGGAAAAAGGTGGATAATTCCTGGAATTAGGAACTCTCTCCCTTTCTAACCTTGTAAGGCAATTTCCGGGAGTTGCCATAGTATTTGTAAACTGTCATGGTGCTGGTGGGTGTAAATTTTACTATGTCAAATGAGGGTAGTTCTTTTAGGAACATTGTTAACTCAACTGTGCGCATGCTCCAAAGACTCTCTATCAAGGCCTTGATCATATGTCTACCTTGTGGTTTCTCTATCTCTTTCTGATTGGTAAGTCTTTTGAGATCCAAGTTGGTATGAACACACCTGTCTGTCCATGTCAAAAAGCCCCTGGGACATTGAATAGCATCTATCTCAAGACAACCCACCTGCAAAGGCCCATACCTACAAGGTCTAGCTTGGCCCCATTCCCATGACAACTCAGGCCTGCCTGACTCCAACCAGTCCAAAATAACATCCACCATTCACCCTGCTTGAATCTAACTACTGGCCTAATGTAACATTAGCTCATAGCAACCTCAAACTCTTGGGCTCAAATGAACCTTTTTCTTCAGCCTCCCATGTAGATGGGACTACAGGTGCACATCAACAAATATGGCTAACTTTCTTTTTTTTTTTTTTTTTAAGAGATGGGGGTGTCTTGGCTCGACGCTTGTAGCTCAGCAGCTAGCATGTCAGCCACATACACTGGAGTTCTCGGGTTCAAACCCACCCCAGGGCTGCTAAACAACAATGACAACTACAGCTAAAAAATAGCCAGGCGTTGTGACAGGCACCTGTAGTCCCAGCTACTTGGAAGGCTGAGGCAAGAGAATCGCTTATCCCCAAGAGTTTGAGGTTGCTGTGAGCTAGGACGCCAAGGCATGCTACCAAGGGCGACATAGTGAGACATTGTTTCAAAAAAAAAGAGGCTTGTGGCTGGGCGCCTGTGGCTCTAGTGGCTAAGGCGCCAGCCACATACACCTAAGGTGGCGGGTTCGAAT